TGTTGAGAATGCTGGCTTCCAGTTTCATCCATGTCCCTGCAAAGGACATGAACTGCATAGTGTTCCATGGTGTATATGTGCCACATTTTCTTTATCCAGTCTATCATTGATGGGCATTTGGGTTGGTTCCAAGTCTTTGCCATTGTGAACAGTGCCACAATAATCATACATGTGCATGTGTTTTTATAGTAGAATGATTTTTAATCCTTTGGGTATATACCCAGTAATGGGATTGTTGGCTCATATGGTATTTCTGGTAATAGATCCTTGAGGAATCGCCACACTGTCTTCCACAATGGTTGAACTAATTTACACTCCTACCAACAGTGAAAAAGCGTTCCTATTTCTCCACATCCTCTCTAGCACCTGTTGTTTCCTGACTTTTTAATGATTGCCATTCCAACTGGCGTGAGATGGTATCTCATTGTGGTTTCGATTTGCATTTCTCTAATGACCAGTGATGATGAACTTTTTTTCATATGCTTGTTGGCCACATAAATATCTTCTTTTGAGAAATGTCTGTTCATATCTTTCACCCACTTTTTTATGGGTTTTTTTTTCTTGTAAATTTGTTTAAGTTCTTTGTAGAGTCTGGATATTAGCCCTTTGTCAGATGGATAGATTGCCTAAATTTTTCTCCCATTCTGTAGGTTGCCTGTTCACTCTGATAATAGTTTATTTTGCTTGCTGAAGCTGGATCCCATTTGCCAATTTTGGCTTTTGTTGCCATTGTTCTTTTGGAGATGTTTTATTATGCATGGAAGTCTTTGCCCATGCCTATGTCCAACTGAGATGGTACATGCTAAGGTATCTTTCATTTGGGATTTTTATGGTTTAGGCTCTATCTTTAATAACTTTAATACCGTCTTGAGTTACATTTTTGGCATAAGGATTAGCAAAAGATAGGGAGGGCCCAGTTATCCAGTTTATCGTGCTATGGCTAGCCAGTCTTCCCCCAGACATCATACCTTAAAAATACAGGGAATCCTTTCCCTATTCGGCTGGCTTTTTTGTCGAGGTTGTGTTCAAAGATCAGATGAGAGCCCTAGATGTGTACGCTGTTTATTTCTGAGGCCTGCGCGTATTCTGTTCGCTATTGGGTCTACATCTGCTGTTTTGGTACCAGTACCGATGCTGTTTTGTTTACTGTACACGCTTGTTAATGGAGTTTGAAGGAGTCAGGGTGAAGAGGGCATGGAGCGCGGCAGCAGCTTTGGTTGCTTTTTGGCCGCGTGGATGTCTTGACAGTGTTGCGGCGTCTTGATGTTGGGGTGTATCCAGTGAAGGAGCGAGTGTAAGAGGAGGTGTTGGTTTTCTAGATCTGTGAAGAAAGGTTGCTGGCAGCTTGATGGGGGCGGCATAGCATTATGGAATGCGTATAAAATTAATGACGTGCAGCAGGTATATCGCCTTTCACAAATGATTGATTCATCCCTTTATCAATTAGAGCATGGTGGAATGTGTGTTTCCATTGTTTGTGTCCCTCTCTTATTTTCCTGGTCAGCAGGTGCGGTTGGCGTAGTTGCGTCCTTGAAGAGTCCTGTGCACACATTATTGTGAAGTTGTCATGTGCGCGCGGTGAGATAGTTTTATTTCTGCTTGTAG